CCATTCAAGAAAAATTGGCCCAAAACTACCCTGCATTTAAACTCCAATACACCGACGCCACCATGTATTACACAGACGTCGACGTCCACTTGGCTCGCCATAACGACATGATATTTGTGACCTTACTAGTGCCTGTAGTGTCTGACAGTACTGTACTGCGCATTTACAGGACATTGACGTTCTCACTTCCGACTCACGTGGCATCCCCTCACGCAACTATAGTCCGGGATGTGGCTCCATACATTGCCATCTCCAGGGAAAGTGAGAAGTATGTAGAACTTCAGGTTGAACAATACGAAGCGTGTAGTGGACAGTCACACATTCACTGTGATATACTGCCACCAGAATCCTCGTTTGCTCGCCCTATTCCTTAACGACATCGATTTGGTACATAGGTTATGTAACTTTCATTTTTTTACAAATGGCACATTTTTGAACTTAGGTCGGGTAAAGTCGTTTTACAAAACGTACCTGATATCAAGTATAAATGTGTAGGAGAGGTTAAGACCCACAAGGGATGTAGTTTGTGTCTCGCCCCCATGTATTGTTCATGCTCACTACACGCAAGCAATAAAACTATTCCCCCCACGTCTTAATGACTGCAGTATCCATAATAATGCCACCCAAATTGAATATCCAGTAAGCATTGGGTTCTTATGCCATTTCTTCGATACAGATAAAATTCAAACCTCCATCCCCACATTGTGGCTCAGGAACCGGTTCTATACAAAACGGCACCACTTCGTTTGGCAAATAGTACTTTCAACAAACTTATCAAAACTGATAAACAACTAAGTGTCAATCTTAAACATGTGGTGGCACAAGCAAAGGCAGACCAAATTATCTATACTGATCCTTCCAACCCACTATTTCTAAATTCCTTGAGCGGAGAGTCCGATACATTTAGTTGGACCAACCCTTTCACGTATCTCAATATGGCAATGTGGGGAATATTGATTCTATTCGGATTTATACTATTTACTATGAATCGAAGAATTGGTCACCTGCGGGTCCAACTATTAGCCCGAGGTATCACTGCGGTCACAGTATCAACCACGTCAGATATACTCGTCTGGACTCCCCTCCACCCCTGCCAGCCCACCCCCTCCATACTTGACCGTATTCAAGCTTATCTCAAATTAGAAATTGTTCTCCTTATATTGATGTTCCTTATTGTCCTATCGCTGAGTTTGTATGTGTATAAACTTAAAACAAAGGTTGTGTCCATACTATATATCAGCTTTTCTTGGGGCACGGAGTCCGTTTGTGTAAAAGTGGCTGAGATTAATACACCACCCCTGCTTTGTCCCTCTCACACCAGGACTATTAGCCTTCATCTGTGGTCATTAATGACTCTTACAGGTTGTTCGCTGATCAACTCACGATTACTTGGCCAGGGAACAACTTATCAGTCGTTAATTGTGTCTCAACAACACGTCTATCTCTCCCTCCCCATCTCACCATATCGAAACTAGCAGCCAGGAAACTCAAACGAATAATTAAGGCCAATTATATAACTAACTTGTACTTAGTCCATGCTAATGTCCATTACTCCGTCATGGCACTTGACAGGACTACCCAACCAGACCCACCTCCCAGTTATCCATATCGACTGTACCCTTCTATCGACTCTTAACGGTTGTCACTACACACTATAGCAGTGGTATGCGTGGATGGCACTAACAAGTACGGGAAATATTGCCCATAATCGTTGTGTGTGCTCATTGTATATTGTAACGTTGATACACCTTCTGTGTCGTATCAACGAAGCCAATGGCTACATCCATGTGTTTGTTGTTGGTTTGGTGGGTTTTTGTGTGTGTCCATTCTCATTTATAATAAGGTAGTCAACATCATGTTGACAATATTGTCCATTATAAATTAGTCATTTGTACTTTGTGTAACCGTGGTATAAAATCAATACTGTCAGTATGTACTTTTGTACTACAATCCTGTATATGTCTGTATTTATATGTACATGTATATAAAATGGTCCTCACGCAAATTATTGTAACTTGCCATGAATTTAAGTCAAGTACTCTATGTCCATCTATAAATGATAAATTGAAATACCAACATATTTGTAGATACTATTATACATAGCTGACAGGCCTGCCGTATCACACCTGCTTTTCCATCCGGACGCGTGGACGCGTCCTTAAATATTAGGGGGGCGTATATCAGAGGCAAGAATCACGGATCGGTCTCCGTATTAGGGAACCCGGATTGGCGACATGAGTCACCCCTCCCCCATCGGTCAAGAATCCGATGGGGGGAGACATAACCCTGGCGAAAGACACAAACTGACCACAGGGACCTACACCAAACATGGAATGGGGGAAAAGCCGGGTACGGGCAAGGAATGTCAGCTATGTCAATTAATGGCTGGTATAAATGATTGTAAACCAGTTGTGCTGGGCTGTTCGGACTCAGAGCCACCCCCTGTAACTAGACCAGAATAAATCGTGTGGACCCCAAGACGGACTTGTGTGCTGATTAGAGTCATATCCCCCAGATCATCAACATACTGAGGCGGATACATTGTAGATAGAGACCTCAGATAAACATGACCCATGGATCTATTGTACACTGTAGATAGAGGCCTCAGGAAAACATGACCCATGGATCTATTGTACACTGTAGATAGAGGCCTCAGGAAAACATGACCCATGGATCTATTGTACACTGTAGATAGAGGCCTCAGGAAAACATGACCCATGGATCTATTGTACACTGTAGATAGAGGCCTCAGGAAAACATGACCCGTGGATCTATTGTACACTGTAGATAGAGGCCTCAGGAAAACATGACCCATGGATCTATTGTACACTGTAGATAGAGGCCTCAGGAAAACATGACCCATGGATCTATTGTACATGGATCTCAGGAAAACATTGTACACTGGATAGAGGCCTCAGGAAAACATGACCCGTGGATCTATTGTACACTGTATAGAGGAGGCCTCAGGAAAACATGACTGTGGATCTATTGTACACTGTAGATAGAGGCCTCAGGAAAACATGACCCAGGAAACATGACCCATGATCTATTGTACACTGTAGATAGAGGCCTCAGGAAAACATGACCCATGGATCTATTGTACACTGTAGATAGAGGCCTCAGGAAAACATGACCCCTGGATCTATTGTACATTGAGGCCTCAGGAATACATGACCCATGGATCTGTTGTACACTGTAGATAGAGGCCTCAGGAAAACATGACCCGTGGATCTATTGTACACTGTAGATAGAGGCCTCAGGAAAACATGACCCTGGATCTATTGTACACTGTAGATAGAGGCCTCAGGAAAACATGACCCGTGGATCTATTGTACACTGTAGATAGAGGCCTCAGGAAAACATGACCCATGGATCTATTGTACACACTGTAGATAGAGGCCTCAGGAAAACATGACCTATGGATCTATTGTACACTGTAGATAGAGGCCTCAGGAAAACATGACCCATGGATCTATTGTACACTGTAGATAGAGGCCTCAGGAAAACATGACCCATGGATCTATTGTACACTGTAGATAGAGACCTCAGGAAAACATGACCCATGGATCTATTGTACACTGTAGATAGAGGCCTCAGGAAAACATGACCCATGGATCTATTGTACACTGTAGATAGAGGCCTCAGGAAAACATGACCCGTGGATCTATTGCACATTGTAGATAGAGGCCTCAGGAAAACATGACCCATGGATCTATTGTACACTGTAGATAGAGGCCTCAGGAAAACATGACCCATGGATCTATTGTACACTGTAGATAGAGGCCTCAGGAAAACATGACCCATGGATCTATTGTACACTGTAGATAGAGGCCTCAGGAAAACATGACCCGTGGATCTATTGTACACTGTAGATAGAGGCCTCAGGAAAACATGACCCATGGATCTATTGTACACTGTAGATAGAGGCCTCAGGAAAACATGACCCATGGATCTATTGTACACTGTAGATAGAGGCCTCAGGAAAACATGACCCATGGATCTATTGTACACTGTAGATAGAGGCCTCAGGGAAAACATGACCCTATTTGTACACTGTAGATAGAGGCCTCAGGAAAAACATGACCCATGGATCTATTGTACATTGTAGATAGAGGCCTCAGGAAAACATGACCCATGGATCTATTGTACACTGTAGATAGAGGCCTCAGGAAAACATGACCCATGGATCTATTGTACACTGTAGATAGAGGCCTCAGGAAAACATGACCCCTGGATCTATTGTACACTGTAGATAGAGGCCTCAGGAAAACATGACCCATGGATCTATTGTACACTGTAGATAGAGGCCTCAGGAAAACATGACCCATGGATCTATTGTACACTGTAGATAGAGGCCTCAGGAAAACATGACCCATGGATCTATTGTACACTGTAGATAGAGGCCTCAGGAAAACATGACCCATGGATCTATTGTACACTGTAGATAGAGGCCTCAGGAAAACATGACCCATGGATCTATTGTACACTGTAGATAGAGACCTCAGGAAAACATGACCCGTGGTTCTATTGTACATTGTAGATAGAGGCCTCAGGAAAACATGACCCATGGATCTATTGTACACTGTAGATAGAGGCCTCAGGAAAACATGTCATGGACCTATTGTACATTGTAGACAGAGATCTATGTGATGCATCTTTGCATACTGTCAGCAGCTTTCTAAACAAACCATTTTTGCAGCAGCACACATTTATACATTTGTTTATTTAAGTATGCAGTGGACTGCGTTTAGTTAGATAATACATACCCCAGTGGGGATTTCGGGTTAGAACAGATAGAGTACTGGGATCTTATCCCACATTACCTGGGAGCCGTCATGATACAGCTGTAATACTGCTTAATATAGATCTCATTGTAGCGGACAACACATATCACATCAATAGTGCACTTTGTACGTAATGTTGAGTGTCGTGTGACAGACGTTATCACAGTTCGATTGTCGTACAACTCGCGCTTGAACCTGTGACCCGGAAATGACATAATAACAGGGAAGCCGAACCTCCAGGTAGGTGTGTCCCGTGCTCTCTCGATATATGTGAGTAAAGTTGTCTTGATAAAAATATATTAACAATGTAAGTGTGCGAAATACGTACGTGGGTATTGTACATCATAAATATAAGTTGGTCATTATTCAAGCGTCGGGGAAACAGATAAACTTTACATTTTCACTCCTACTTGAGACGCCGCCATTACTCGTTGAGTGTTGTGCACGATACATAGCATCTCACTCAAGAATAACACCACTTAAAGTACTTAACGTTGTGTGATGTGGCGTCAACTGGCGCATGTTATGGTTAGATAGATTCCATATCTTTAAAAAGATCAACCTGGAAGATGGTTGTCATGACGAGACTGCAGTCGACCTTCAAGTACACAATGTCGTCCATAGCAATTCTCAAAGAGGGCGTTAACGCAGTCATGTACCCGACATGTAGGACAGGCTATTTTAGAGAGGGTAACTATGCTAGGTGTCGTCGAGAGAGACATACATTCGGCAACGGCCCGTAGGGTAGATCAAGGAACAGGAGTTGTTGGTGGTGTAAGTAGTCCGTGGGGCAGACCAAGGAGGAGATAAACAATCTGTGCTGCTACATAGTTCACAGTGTGGAGGACACAGATAGTGCATGGTGTGAAGCAGAATAAGGCGAAGGAGATACGAGTGGACAAATAATTATTTGTGCTGTTTGGTTACTCTAGGTGTGGGAGACGCAGGTGGGGTAGAACAAATAGAAGGAGATACGGGTGGATAAATTATTTAGGAAGCTCAGGGTGTGGGATACGCAGGTGGGGTAAGAGTGCATGGTGGGGTAGAACAAATAGAAGGAGATAAGGGTGGATAAATTATTTAGGAAACTCAGGGTGTGGGATACGCAGGTAGGGTAAGTAGTGCATGGTGGGGTAGAACAAATAGAAGGTGATACGGGTGGATAAATTATTTAGAAAGCTTAGGGTGTGGGAGACGCAGGTGGGGTAAGTAGTGCATGGTGGGGTAGAACAAATAGAAGGAGATACGGGTGGATAAATTATTTAGGAAGCTCAGGGTGTGGGAGACGCAGGTAGGGTAAATAGTGCATGGTGGGTAGAACAAATAGAAGGAGATACGGGTGGATAAATTATTTAGAAAGCTCAGGGTGTGGGAGACGGTAGGGTAAGTAGTGTGTGATTGGGTAGAACAGATAGAAGGTGATACGGGTGGATAAATTATTTAGAAAGCTCAGGGTGTGGGAGACGCGGGTAGAGAAAATAGTGCATGGTGTGAGGCAGAATAAGGAGATACGGGTGGATAACGGACATCAGACTCTACATCAAATTATTCAGTTTGTACTTGTAATGTTTGCCATGTGACATAATTTACTACAATTCGATAATGACAAAAACTCGCCCGTGATTCGGAAGTGACCTTTATAACAAGGAAGCCAAACCTACAGGTAGGGGTGTCCTGCACTGCCTCGACATATGAATAAAGCTGTCTTGATAGAGATACATTAACTGCGAAACTCGGTGAAATACACACACGAGCATAGTAGATCATATGATATCTACGTTGGCCATGAGTCAAGTTTTCACAATCGAGCAAACAGGTAAACCTTACATTTTATCGTTACTTCAGAATTATTCCTCCCGGTCTTTTGTGCTAAAATATATACAACAAGACCATTTTGCATCGTGAGAGCCAAACAATGTGCTATCTGACACATGTTATAGTCAGACAGAATCCGTTTCTTCACAAAGATCAACCAGGAAGACGTTTGTCGTGAACTTGACTGCAGTCTGCCATGAAGTATACAATATCGTCTATTGTAGTGCATGAAAGAGGCGTTATCACAGCCACGTGATATGTAGCACAGGCTATTGTACAGTGTTTGCTATGCTTGGGATCACTGAGACAGATCTATACATTCGCCGACTGGGTGTGTAGATCACAGAACAGGGATTCAGCTAGCATAAAAACACAGGTAGGGTACGGTATGCTGTGGAAGGTAGCTCAGGGTGTGGGAGACGCAGGTGGGGTAGGTACTGTATGGTATGAGACAAGGGTAGACGTGTAATGTATGCAGTTAGGTAGCTCAAGGTGTGTTTTTGGGTTTTTTAAGTGAAAGTACCAGGGAGGTGAGATCGTCTTTCTTCCTCAACACCCAATTCTCCATTCTTCGCTTCCCCGCCTCCCACCCTCCCCATAACGGATTCTCATGAACCCTACTTTTCCTACCTCCTGAGACACATCTCTCCCTTCTATCACCCACCTTTCTCTCATTCAGGTACGCGCCCTCCCCTTCTACACACTTGCCACCCCCGTACGCACCTCTCCTCCTACTACACACCTGCCCCTCCTACCTGTACACACCCCTCCTCCGACTACACACCTCTCCCGTCACCCCGTCCGCACCCTCCCTCCTACTACACCTCTCTCTCTTTTCTCCATATTCACTTCTCCTAATACTACACACCTGCCTCTCCTACCTGTCCTCACCTCTCCTACTACACATCTCTCCCTCCGACTACACACCTGCCCCTCCTACCTGTACACACCAATCTCTCCTCCCCGTACTCACACCCTCCGAGAACGCACCTGTCTCCCCCCCTTACCTGCCCTCCCTGCTACTACCCATCTATCCCCTCTTATCTGGACCCGACCCATGACCAATTTCCCTCTCTCCCGCGTACCCACCTGTTTTAATATCTGCATTCATTTAGTAAAATATACTGTGAGATGTTTTTGCCCCTAATGTTGTTCTCTGCAAGTAGTCACAAAGATTCGTTCCTTTTTAACCTTATTTCATGTGATGTAATCTGATTGCCGGTGTTTTACTGAAATTCTCCTCTGATCAGGTGTAAGTGCCTAATTTAAGAGCATGTAATTCATGGAGTCAGTATGCCACTCTTGATAAACTATTCGTATTATTGAATTGAAGATATGTGGTGGACATCAATATTCTCGCTGGAATAGAGACAATGCTATTATCTGTTTCAGAATGGACGCCTTCCCCAAATGTTCTGTCTGTCAGCAGCAGTTTACCCTGAAAGGCCCCGCCCCCTACCTACTGCCCTGTCTACACGCTGTGTGTGAGACGTGTGTGACATCTGCAGCTGGTGGTGTCATATCATGCTCTACTTGTCAGAGGGAGGTCAACCTCACAGACACAAGCCTCCAGAAAGACGCAGTGAGACAGAAGGAAATATTCCATCTGACAGCCAAACATCGCCCCACAGAGCTCCTCTGTACACATGAAGATGACGGCAACCAGGCTGTGTGTTGGTGTCAGGAGTGTGAGGAGTTACTCTGTGAATACTGCCAGAACATGCACAACAGTTTTAAAGCTACCAGACGACATGTTGTTGAAACCATTGTGGACACAGCACCAGGAAGCATACATACTAAACCAGTTTGCAAACTTCACAGCCCTTATCCCCTTGAATATTTTGACCAAAACTGCAACATTTTGATCTGTGCCAAATGCAGACTTGGCGAGCATGCTGAGCACGACGTTGGAGATGTAGATGTGGCTGCTGATGCTGCTAGAGGACGGATAGAACAACATGGGAAGAACGTGACTGCACATCATACTTCTCACCAAGCATGTCTGAAGAGCATCAGCAAAGCCGTGAATGACACCAAGAAGACAAGCAGTGATCTGAAGGAGACCATCCACCACACTTTCCATTCTCTGAGGACACAACTCGATCAAAGAGAGAAGGAGCTGATCATCGACCTAGAGAATCAGACGAAGCAGGAACTGTCAAATCTACACACAGAGCAAGTTACCTCTGAAGGCGAGAGTGAACGATGCAAGTGGACCTCAGACTACATCAAGACAGTGCTCAGATATGCTTCGAACTCGGACTTTCTGACACTGGAGAGTTCCATACAAGACACAACGAGGACGCACCTCGGATCACTGCCACCAGAGACGCACAGGGCACCTGCAGCCAGATTCAACACGAGAGGACTGGAGAAATTAAAATCCGACATCTCTGCCTTCGGGTCTGTCAATGGAGATGGATCCCTGTCTGATGAACATACACTTACAGGTACTTACTTATCACTTTGACAATACCTCTTCATGTTTACACGAGACACTTATTAAGTTGTGAACCCGTGAAGGTCCGGGTTAGAATGAACCTTCAGTAACCCATGCTTGTCGTAAGAGGCGACTAACGGGATCGGGTCAGGCTCGCTGGCTTGGTTGACACATGTCATCGGTTCCCCATTGCGTAGGTCGATGTTCATGCTGTTGATCACTGGATTGTCTGGTCCAGACTCGATTATCTACAGACCGCCGCCATATAGCTGGAATATTGTTGAGTGCGGCATAAAACTAAACTCACTTACTGATAAGCTGTGTCAAAAGTGAAAATGTTTGAAAGATTCTTATGTTTACATACTTTAATGTCACTTTAAGGTGGTATTTCGATGCTTTATCAATACATTTCCAACAATAACTCAGTGAAACAGAAAAGACTTGATTTGTCACAGTTGTGGGTTATCTTGCAGACAAGGGTACACAGACCGACGACGGCCATTTAACGGACACGGAGAACATACACAAGCATGTAAGTACGTCTTAGTTGGTAAACATGCGTAGATTGCGTTGTTTTTAGGTACAAAATATGAACGCTTTACGATTACCTGTGTAAACACAATGTTCGTATTGTCTGTAAAATGAACTTGTATATTAGAGCTGAAACAAGCCATCTGTGAATCTAAGATTGCGATGTTGAGTTATCTTCTCTCGCTTCAAGCTGAAGTTTCCGGGGGCTGCCAACGATTCAACGCCACTACCACTGTTTGGTAAGACTATTTTTCATTACTTTGAAAACAATAATGACAATAGAAAATAACATAACTGTGTATATCTCTTTTTTCTCATGCCATATTATCAGAAGCTCAATCCCAAACACACCCGTGAAGGTCCGGGTTGGAATATTGATCTTCAGTAACCCATGCTTGTCGTAAGAGGCGACTAAAGGGATCGGGTGGTCAGGCTCGCTGACTTGGTTGACACATGTCATCGGTTCCCCATTGCGCAGATCGATGCTCATGCTGTTGATCACTGGATTGTCTGGTCCAGACTCGATTATTTACAGACCGCCGCCATATTGCCGGAATATTGTTGGGTGCGGCGTAAAACAAAACTCACTCATTCACTCCCATTCCCAAACATATTTATGATTTGAATAGAAATAGTTTTGAATGGTCACAAGTTAACCTCATTAGCAAATGCATATCTTTGTAAATAAAATTCAAACATATTTTTTTATACATGTTCTCCTGATATTGTGATATGTGTACACATAATGGACAAGGATCCTATGTATTATTAATGCCCGACAGCAGTCGAAAGGGAAAGAATGTTCAGATGTCACTTTTGTGTAAATCTCCACTAGTAAAGAGACCCAGATCTCTTGTTGTATACAAAGGTGGAGTACCTCCTAAGTCCACACCATCGAAGTTGCTATTCATTTCTTCATGTCTGTATTCACTATTAGTTTTATTCTTCAACCTTGGAAATATATTTTACAGATGCGAGGACTAACACTTACAGTCTGGAAACAGGAACAGGGACCACGTTGACACTGCAGTGTGAGTACAGCCTCGTGCTAAGTGACGTTACACACATGTTGTAGCGCCATTGTACGCCCTTCACAAACAGGATAAGTTACTGGCTCTGTCCTAACGTGCAACCACGTGGTGCTGTACAGGACGCTGCTGCAATACTTTTACGTTGTGCGCTTTCAAGGCCCAATGACTAAAGTCCAAAGGGGCGTAGTTTTAGTGTCGGACATTTTCTTATCAAAGACATGGGACTGGTTATATTCACGTTTTCCTTCTTCTGACTACAGTATGGTACTGTATCTAGACTGACTCATCATTAAATCACATGCTGTGGTACAAGGTGCAGTGATGTTCTCCGCCCTGTAAGCACTAGATATCGTGCTAGATGTAGTGATATCCGCATTTTAACGTACCACGTGGTACTGAATGTAATGTTCTTGCTTGGCCTTTAAAAAAGGACAAGATACTTGGTGTTGTGATGTTGTGCCTTCTCTTCGTAGGGATACGGTGGTACTGGTACATAGTACATGGTGTTCTCTCTAGCCTACAAAGTGCCTTGTTGAATAAGGTCTAAACCAAGGGCCAGAACACCGTTCATGCATTTTATGTATTGAGTGTAGGTTTAGAATTTTCTAAAGTATTCATCTCCTCGCCGATTTCGTTCAAATTTGAAACATATGTTAATCATAACATATAAAAACAATATACGATAGCAAAAGTTTAGATATTTTATTTTTAAAAATTATTGTCCAAACAGTGATTCGAACCCATGTGGCTCAAACTGTGGTCAGTGATTGAAGCGGACGTAGAAGTTACCTGTTGACACTGTGTCTGTTGAACACTCAGATGTAAAAATATCGTCAAACAACTACTTTGTCGGTCTTATTGTTTAGTAAATCGTATAAGAAGAGTTTAGAATACTAACAATGATAGTTTTATCATGATATAACGGAAGCTGACTGCTTGTCAGCATACATTCAACATCACATTGAAAAATTATCCATGCCATGTACTCACGATTACAGTCTGACCTTTAAACAGCGGAAAGCTGACCGTATGTGACCACGCTGAAAATTATCACCAACCATGTACACATGATTACAGTCTGACCTTTAACCTACAATAAAACAATTTCTGGTCAACTTGAACCGGCGAGCACAGGAAGTCACACACAGGAAGCTAAACACATCAACCCTCCCAGGTCCGCACCAACTGTCACCTACTTGAACATAATTTGTACAGCTTCAACCGTTTATTGTTGACAGATATGGAAACATTCGGAGTTGTTGTGACAGCGTATTTTAAACTTTGATTTAACAAAATGAGCTGTGATATTTTGACCTTATCAATAGCAGCTGACACACACACCTAGGCCGGAAAGGGGAGGGTGGGGGTTCAACAATAGATTAGGTCACACAAAGGTCACACCTATGTTGCGTCATAAAAAGAAAATGGAGGATATTCTGTCCAAACACAGTCCCCAAACCCCATCCCAAACCCCTCCCCAATATTGGGTTTAAAAGAATCTGGTTTGGTAATCAAGCAATACTTTGCTATTATTTCTGACAGCAGTGTAAAACTTTGAGCATTATACTTTTGATATTTCATTTACGTGTTTATAGTTGACTCATGTGCGTTCACAATTCGTCCGGAAATCATCTTCATACAAGTGAGTAAATGAGTGAGTATGGTTTTACGCCGCCTTTGGCAATATTCCAGCAATATCACGGTAGGGAACACCAGAAATGGGCTTCACACGATGCGGGATGCTGGATGCGGGATGCAAGAGGATCCTGGATGCGGATCCTGAATATATAGGAAAGTTTCCCTGATATGGGATGCTGGATGCTGCATGGATGGATGGGATGCTGGATGTTGGATGCGGATATGCAGGATGCGGGATGCTGAATGCAGGATGCGGGATGCACGATGCTGGATGCTGGATGCTGGATGCAGGATGCTGGATGCTGATGCAGGATGCTGGATGCTGGATGCTGGATGCTGGATGCTGGATGCAGGATGCAGGATGCTGGATGCTGGATGCGGGATGCAGGATGCTGGATGCGGGATGCAGGATGCTGGATGCTGGATGCTGGATGCTGGATGCGGATGCGGGATGCGGGATGCAGGATGCTGGATGCTGGATGCTGGATGCGGGATGCGGGATGCTGGATGCGGGATGCTGGATGCAGGATGCTGGATGCTGGATGCTGGATGCTGGATGCTGGATGAGGATGCAGGATGCAGGATGCTGGATGCTGGATGCAGGATGCTGGATGCAGGATGCTGGATGCCGGGATGCAGGATGCTGGATGCTGGATGCTGGATGCTGGGATGCTGATGCTGGATGCTGGATGCTGGATGCTGGATGCTGGATGCTGGATGGTGGATGCTGGATGCAGGATGCTGGATGCTGGATGCTGGATGCTGGATGCTGGATGCTGGATGCAGGGATGCTGGATAAGATGCTGGATGCTGGATGCTGGATGCTGGATGCTGGATGCTGGATGCAGGATGCTGGATGGTGGATGGTGGATGCTGGATGCTGGATGCTGGATGCTGGATGGTGGATGCTGGATGCTGGATGCAGGATGCTGGATGGGATGCTGGATGCTGGATGCAGGATGCTGGATGCAGGATGCTGGGATGCTGGATGCAGGATGGATGCTGGATGCAGGATGCTGGATGCTGGATGCTGGATGCTGGATGCTGGATGCTGGATGCTGGATGCAGGATGCTGGATGCAGGATGCTGGATGCATGGATGCTGGATGCTGGATGCTGGATGCGGGATGCGGGATGCTGGATGCTGGATGCGGGATGCTGGATGCGGATGCAGGATGCTGGATGCAGGATGCTGGATGCGGGATGCTGGATGCAGGATGCAGGATGCTGGATGCTGGATGCTGGATGCGGGATGCTGGATGCAGGATGCTGGATGCGGATGCTGGATGCAGGATGCAGGATGCTGGATGCTGGATGCTGGATGCTGGATGCTGGATGCTGGATGCTGGATGCAGGATGCAGGATGCGGATGCTGGATGCTGGATGCTGGATGCGGGATGGATGGATGCTGGATGCGAAGATGGTGGATGCTGGATGCGGATGCTGGATGCAGGATGGTGGATGGATGATGGTGGATGCTGGATGGTGGATGGTGGATGGTGGATGCTGGATGGTGGATGCTGGATGCAGGATGCTGGATGCGGGATGCGGGATGCTGGATGCGGGATGCTGGATGCTGATGCTGGATGCGGATGGTGGATGCAGGATGCTGGATGCTGGATGGGGATGGATGGATGCAGGATGCTGGATGCGGGATGGTGGATGGTGGATGCTGGATGGTGGGATGCGGGATGCAGGATGGATGATGGGATGGTGGATGCTGGATGCGGGATGGGATGCGTGGATGGATGGGATGCTGGATGCGTGGATGGTGGATGCGGATGGTGGATGGTGGATGCTGGATGCTGGATGCTGGATGGTGGATGCTGGATGCGGGATGGTGGATGCTGGATGCAGGATGGATGCGTGGATGCGGATGCTGGATGCGGATGCGGATGCGGATGGTGGATGCTGGATGCGAGATGATGGATGCGGATGGTGGATGGTGGATGGTGGATGCGGATGCTGGATGATGCGATGATGGATGCTGGATGCTGATGCTGGATGCTGGGATGCTGGATGCTGGATGCTGGATGATGCGGATGGTGGATGCTGGATGGTGGATGCGGGATGCAGGATATGCGGGATGCAGGATGGTGGATGCGAGGATGGTGGATGCTGGATGGTGGATGGTGGATGCTGGATGCGGATGGTGGATGCTGGATGCGAGGATGGATGGATGGTGGATGGTGGATGGTGGATGCTGGATGCTGGATGGTGGATGCATGGATGGATGCATGGATGGTGGATGCGGGATGCTGGATGGTGGATGCTGGATGGTGGATGCTGGATGCTGGATGGGATGGTGGATGGTGGATGGTGGATGGATGGATGCAGGATGGTGGATGGATGCTGGATGGTGGATGCTGGATGCGGGATGGTGGATGCTGGATGGTGGATGCGGGATGGTGGATGGGATGGTGGATGCGGATGGTGGATACTTGATGCGGGATGGTGGATGGTGGATGGTGGATGCTGGATGGTGGATGGTGGATGGTGGATGGTGGATGGTGGATGCAGTGGATTTGGGATCCGTGATGCTGAAGTAAAACACACCACACATGCTGATGTCACTGAAGTGAAACACAACATGTGCTGATGTCATGTGCTGAAGTCATTGAAGTAAAACACACATGTGCTGATGTTCATTGAAGTAAACACAACATGTGCTGATGTCATTGAAGTAAAACACAACATGTGCTGATGTTCTTGAAGTAAAACATGTGCTGATGTCATTGAAGTAAAACACAACATGTACTGATGTCATTGAAGTAACACACAACATGTGCTGATGTCATTGAAGTGAAACACAACATGTGCTGATGTCATTGAAGTAAAACACAACATCTGCTTATGTCAATATAGTTTATTGATTATGACAGATACAGCCATGCCTACCATAACATACAACCATTTGTGTCAGGTATTTTTACCACCTATAGTACAGTATGCTTAGTCAGCAGTTATAATATCAAAGTTTAATGACACAATTATGCTGGTATAACAACCATGGCTACTGGACAGTCAGCATTAAAGCAAATTATCACCAATATAGGATATCAGTCTTGAAAAGTGTGTATCACAAGAGAACTGGTTTCAGTACAGTGAGAAGCAGCTGAATCATCCTCTAAATTATGACAAATATTTAATATTATAATTGTCGCTGTAGTGATAATGTGTTTGGGGTATATACAACAAGATCTAATTTACATCTATGCTTAGACTAGTCATCATGAGCTTTAAGACTGTATAAGAAATAAATCTGTTACAAATAAATACTTTTGGTTACCATATTTGTTGTATACTACCATCACTCATTCACAATGTACATTTCTTGAATACATGATTGTAATATATCTAAATCACAAGATTATTATAACTATGACACACTGATTCATTGCTATCAAAGAGGTCACAGTTGGTCGTTGATTTCATGGTGTTGTCACAGTTTCATTAATGTCTGTTGTCATAGCAACAGACTGTCACCACTGGTCACCAGCTGACATACAATACACAATTTGCTTTGAATAATCATGTGCTAAGCCTTGTTAACAATTAGCATATAAAGACTATCACTTATTTGTAACTAGTTTCTGATCAATTTCAACATTGAAATATTCCATACTGTATTTTACAGCATGGAGTCAAATGTCTAATAGAGTTGTCAAGCAGCCAAATGACATGATGAATGATAAAACATGTAGAACAAAAACAGCAAATTGCAAATAATGTACACAATAATATTCAAGCCTTCCCTTTCACCCAGTTATCAGATTTATGTGTACACATTTTAATCTCATCTTTGAAGAGTGACGTATGTAATATCACATTTGATATCAGCAACACTGTTACTTAAGTACATGTACATTATGACAATGTTGCCAGCACTGGAAATAAACAACATAAATAGAAAAATACACAGTAGCGCTATCATATGCTGTCGATAAACTGACACATCTATACATCACATGTGGTATGTATTTATTATGATAAATTTGATTATTATTCACAAGACATCGAATCAGAAGCAAACAAGAGGTATGAACAAGGTGTTGAAGTATAAAAATACAAATATGAAAAAGTTTTGTCATGGAAATTGGACATTCAGATCTTGTAACCATGCCATCAAATATGTGTTTATACATTTCCCTGACTGACATTTCAATCTGAAAATATACATTGCATAGTCTAATGAAGACATGGTGGTTCCAAACATTTATTTAATAAAATTCTAAAAAATAACAACATAACTTAAATCATAAGTTAGATTTGTTAGCTTTTGTTGGTATTATTTTGTTTGTTTTTATTCGAATTTATTTTAGATTTGATAGAAAACAGCTTTTAATTCTAAAACTCCTCCCTCCACTGACTGTAGCCCCGTGAGCTGGGTAGTGTGTTGCTTGAGTAGGACTCTTCTTTCAGGACTTGTTCCAGCTCTTGCTGAGTGTCCACAATGTGCACGTGGAATGGACTGCCTGGCACATCCACGTTGGACCACTTCACGTGGATGATATACAGTCCTGTCTCCGTTGGATCAAAGCGACAGAGAATTGTCCTATCTTTTTGGCTATCTCTGTACATTTCCACTTGAAACGCCCCTGGAATATGAACAAACATGTAGTAAGAAGTTGTCTCCCCTTTTATAGAAAAACGTAAGGTTGTGTAGTAAACATTTTCTGCCCTGTTTGAGGCATAACAGCACCATGTTGTAAGCAGTTGTCTCCCTTTACAGAAAACTTTAAAAGTTGTGTATCGAATACTCTGTCTCATATCCTACATGACAGGAGTGAGCAGGTTGAACACCTGTTTGAACAGTACTTCATTTCGTCAAATTATGATTAAAGGGATGATGTTGACGAGGGAAAAATCATGTGTAATAATAGTTCGGGGCTAGAACCAATACAATTGATTTTGGCAAAGTACTCAACAATGCAATCGTGTTTGTCAGTGGAGGACAGAACTAAAATGTAGGCTTCTTTAAGACTTTGTTTTTTTTTCTCGTAAATACATAAATTCAAACTTGTGTGTTCAGAGAGATTTTTGTGCTCAGTTTGTATGATAGGTGAAGACAGATAGAAATGACGAAAGAGTTTGTCTCAATAATTAAATACATACCCCTTTGATATCATTTCATGAATGAATACCCACTCTCAATCACACAAGGATCAAAGCTATTCTTTAGTTCAAAATATTACCAAAAATGTACAGACAGTCTGTTATAGTCAGTAGCTTTGAAGAATACCAAAGCATAAAGAATTAGATATGGAGTGTGGTGAGACAAAATGTCCATACCTTTGGGCCCTCTGATCCTGACCATGAGCTGACCGGCGCCAGCGCCACGGGTCTCCACAATAAAGCGGGACTGGAAGCATGCTAGGATACCATGCTCAACGCCGGGACCGCTCACACGCACTTTGCTGGCATCTGGCTGAGCAGATACTCGGAAAACAAAGGGGCTTCCTGAGAACAAATCACAAACATCACTCATTATAAACTGTCTTATATACAAATACCTGTAACTGTACCAAAAGTCATTGGGCAGACGTAAAGTTTGACGTAGTTCCTATATTTCCATACGGGATCATGACAGTCTCTATGAAAACCAAAGTGATTGAAGCGAACATAGAATGACCCCATGTACATGATGATATGCATGTTCCACGAAAACACTCAAGTTCGCAGAATATTTTGTTTCCTTATTATATGGGTTTCGTTGTCAGTAAGAAGTGTTTCAAATCCACACATGACTACTTTACAGATTAACAGAAGCAAAGATCTTGCAGCTGTTTTAGTTGGTCCATTCCATAGTTGTAACAATATGTCAAATATTACTCTAAACTGAAATCAGTCTTTACCTGGCCCTGCTTTCCGTGTGTCAATTCTGATGTCAAGGTCACGACCTAAAAGACCTCCCTTTAAACCTTCACCCGTTACAGCGACCTTGTTTGGGTAGAAAGCACCAATGACGTTGACCTTGAATGGAGCTCCCTTGACCTGTCGGCCATTCCAGGTGATGTGGAGGAGATATGCTCCTGGGATGACTGGAATATAAGTACATCTGTACTTGCCGCCACCGAGCGGCGATATGATGACGTTGACTTCTGCCCTCACTCCCGTAAGCTGGACCTGAGGCTCCCCTGAAAGAAAATAACACTACATACTCATCGAAACAAATATGGGAAAACATGAAAGTACAAGTGTTCCTTTGTTTATTTCCAGACTTTCACCCACAGTGCAATATACAGCTTGGCAAGAAACCCGGAAATGAGTATAAGAACACTTTCACTTTCGTGTGTTCCTTTATTTGTTTCCATGAGAATATGTTGATACACCACAATTTCAACAGAGCTGATATATATTACGCAAAAGGGCATAAAACGATAATAAACTAAATTCTTTCTGCAACTTAAAGAAAACAACACTTGAAGAACATGCATTCCTTGCAAAACATACAAAGTGTTACTAAAATATATTGCAATTAAAATGGATAAGAAAATCATCTTAAAGGGATCACGTGCACAGACTTTACATTGTTACAAGTGACTGGGGCAAGAGACTGTCTCAGTCAGGATTATTAGTAAATGATTGATACAAAACATAAAATCTGAATTTGAAAACAAACTTGAAATTGTTAGAACTTTACACTGGGACAAGCCTAGTCTCCCTCTAATATGACACTATTCCAGTCATTGAGGTACATGAACATATCTGCATGAGGTACTGGTATTTAAGCCCACTTGTAATTTCACCCATGGGCTTAAAAATGGCATATATATTCCCGTTATTAAGCCTTTGAGCCTAAATTAAGATTTCAAATTTTATTGTTTTAAGAGTGACGTCCCTTTGCAAAAGCACATGGCAAACTTCAGCATATATAACGTTTGTAGTGCACGTTTGTAGTGCAGTTAGAGGTTTTCTTGTACACATAACGTTTGGAGTCCCAAGAGATATACTGAAATACACAAGGAATATGTCTCACATGCAGTTGCAATAAAATATGATAATATCAGAGGACACGTTCCCAAAGAACAGTCTATTAAGTAGAGTATGTAAATATTTCATCAAATGACAGGGTGTCACTCAAGTTCAGGTTTATGACAGTTCTTTACATAACGTTTTGGAGTCCCAAGAGAGGTCAGGTACTCTATACTCAAATAGAAAATCTCAAGGAATATGTCTCAAACACAGCTGCAATAAAATATAAGGACACGTTCCCAAAGAACAGAGTAAAGTATGTAAATATCGCATCAAAAGACGGGGCGTCACTCAAGTTTATGACAGTTCTTTAATGGCTGTCTAAGGTTCAGGTGTTCTGTATTATTCCGTTATATTAAAGTTCAGTCTATTTTATTGTGTCTTAGAATCCTTTTCTTCAGTTACAAGCATTTCCCAAATTTAAGCCCTGGGCTTAATTATGGGTTTTATTTGTTAACGAGAAGGGTCATTTTCTGCTATTAATATGGGAAATGCCGGTATACAGGAATCTTGAACACTGTGAGTACCTCTGCCAGCCTGGGAGCCATCAATGAAGAACTCGGCCTCCTCTCTGACTGTAGCCTCCTTCAGGCCCCGGCCGGAGAGGATGATCTTGGTGATGTCATGGAAGCCCCCGGTAGCGTAGGCAGAGAATGCAGAGCCCGACAGAGGGTGGCCCGACCAGTTCAGGTGAATGCTATGATGACCTGAAGCACACATGTTCATATGAAAGGATTTTTTGTGTTCATTAATATTTTGTATTCCACAAAATGAACACCTGTAATTTTGTTATGATTACAAAAATACATGATAAATAGTAACATACAGCTACACCTCACGGCCTCCAGAGACACATCCCCATCAGATTCTAACATACAGCTACACCTCACAGCACCCAGATACACATCCCAATCAGATTCTAACATACAGCTACACCTCATGGTCCCTAGAAACACATCCCCATCAGATGCTAACATACAGCTACACCTCATGGCCCCTAGAGACACATCCCCATCAGATGCTAACATACAGCTACACCTCATGGCCCCTAGAAACACATCCCCATCAGACGCTAACATACAGCTACACCTCATGGCCCCTAGAAACACATCCCCATCAGATGCTAACATACAGCTACACCTCATGGCCCCTAGAAACACATCCCATACAGATTCTAACATACAGCAACACCTCATGGCCCTAGAAACACATCCCATACAGATGCTAACATACAGCTACACCTCATGGCCCCTAGAGACACATCCCATACAGACGTTAACATACAGCTACACCTCATGGCCCCTAGAAACACATCCCCATCAGATACTAACATACAGCTACACCTCATGGCCCCTAGAAACACATCCCCATCAGATGCTAACATACAGCTACACCTCATGGCCCCTAGAGACACATCCCCATCAGATGCTAACATACAGCTACACCTCATGGCCCCTAGAAACACATCCCCATCAGACGCTAACATACAGCTACACCTCATGGCCCCTAGAGACACATCCCGTACAGATGCTAACATACAGCTACACCTCATGGCCCCTAGAAACACATCCCCATCAGATGCTAACATACAGCTACACCTCATGGCCCCTAGAAACACATCCCATACAGATTCTAACATACAGCAACACCTCATGGCCCCTAGAAACACATCCCATACAGATGCTAACATACAGCTACACCTCATGGCCCCTAGAGACACATCCCATACAGACTTTAACATACAGCTACACCTCATGGCCCCTAGAAACACATCCCCATCAGACGCTAACATACAGCTACACCTCATGGCCCCTAGAAACACATCCCCATCAGATGCTAACATACAGCTACACCTCATGGCCCCTAGAAACACATCCCCATCAGATACTAACATACAGCTACACCTCATGGCCCCTAGAAACACATCCCCATCAGATGCTAACATACAGCTACACCTCATGGCCCCTAGAAACACATCCCCATCAGATACTAACATACAGCTACACCTCATGGCCCCTAGAAACACATCCCCATCAGATGCTAACATACAGCTACGCCTCATGGCCCCTAGAAACACATCCCCATTGGATACTAACATACAGCTACACCTCATGGCCCCTAGAAACACATCCCCATCAGATGCTAACATACAGCTACACCTCATGGCCCCTAGAAACACATCCCCATCAGATGCTAACATACAGATACACCTCACAGCACCCAGATACACATCCCCATCAGATGCTAACATACAGCTACACCTCATGGCCCCTAGAGACACATCCCCATCAGATACTAACATACAGCTACACCTCATGGCCCCTAGAAACACATCCCCATCAGATGCTAACATACAGCTACACCTCATGGCCCCTAGAAACACATCCCCATCAGATGCTAACATACAGCTACACCTCATGGCCCCTAGAAACACATCCCCATCAGATGCTAACATACAGCTACACCTCATGGCCCCTAGAAACACATCCCCATCAGATGCTAACATACAGATACACCTCTCACAGCACCCAGATACACATCCCCATCAGATGCTAACATACAGCTACACCCTCATGGCCCCTAGAGACACATCCCCATCAGATACTAACATACAGCAACACCTCATGGCCCCTAGAAACACATCCCCATCAGATGCTAACATACGCTACACCTCATGGCCCCTAGAAACACATCCCCATCAGATGCTAACATACAGATACACCTCACAGCACCCAGATACACATCCCCATCAGATGCTAACATACAGCTACACCTCATGGCCCCTAGAGACACATCCCCATCAGATACTAACATGCAGCTACACCTCACAGCCACCAGAAACACATCCCCATCAGATGCTAACATACAGCTACGCCTCATGGCCCCTAGAAACACATCCCCATCAGATACTAACATACAGCTACACCTCATGGCCCCTAGAAACACATCCCCATCAGATGCTAACATACAGCTACGCCTCATGGCCCCAAGAAACACATCCCCATCAGATACTAACATACAGCTACACCTCATGGCCCCTAGAAACACATCCCCATCAGATGCTAACATACAGATACACCTCACAGCACTCAGATACACATCCCCATCAGATGCTAACATACAGCTACACCTCATGGCCCCTAGAGACACATCCCCATCAGATACTAACATACAGCTACACCTCACAGCCACCAGAAACACATCCCCATCAGATGCTAACATACAGCTACACCTCATGGCCCCTAGAAACACATCCCCATCAGATGCTAACATACAGCTACACCTCATGGCCCCTAGAAACACATCCCCATCAGATGCTAACATACAGCTACACCTCATGGCCCCTAGAAACACATCCCCATCAGATACTAACATACAGCTACACCTCATGGCCCCTAGAAACACATCCCCATCAGATGCTAACATACAGCTACACCTCATGGCCCCTAGAAACACATCCCCATCAGATACTAACATACAGCTACACCTCATGGCCCCTAGAAACACATCCCC